TTTAGAAAAGAGGAGAAGAAAAGTAGGAAAAGGTTGAGGGAAAAGAAGAGTAAAAGAGAAGAAGAGAATTGACTTTTTGGTGTGAAGAATATGAGAGGTATGAGGGGGTATTTATAGGCTAGCTCATGCAAGAATTATGGTAGGAGAATGTAGGAAGAATTATGGTAAAAAGAATTAAGGAATTACTTGGAGAAGAGAATGAAAGAAATATGGAAAGTTTTGATATTAAGGTGATTAAGAATAATAAAATTAAGGAAAGTGTGTTGTCATGAAAAATAATATGGCAAAAGACATTACTTGGGGAATAATCAAGGAAGATTTAAGGTAGGAAAATAAGATGATCAAATATTTAGGAGATGGAGAAATAAAATTAAGGAAAATAAGAGATTTTAAGGAGATAATTAAAAATACAATTTTCCAAATAAATCACCCAAAATTTGACCATGAGGGCCGAAAATATTGAGCTTCCATAGCTCAAATTTTAGGATCCTATTAGTATATTTTAGAGATTTATTTTGCTAGATTTAAGGAATTAAAAATAATTGTGTAAATAATATTTATTGTATAAAATAATTAGTTAAAAAGATACCAATTATTCACTAAATAATTAACCTAGAAAATCAGATTTTCCACACTAGGAAAATCTGAAAATCTTAGTCAATAATTAGGAATTTTCGGACCTTATTAATTTAATAATAAAATATAGTTTTTGCTTTAATTAAAATATCCGAAATATATAAATAATCCGATTTTTAAAATAAAATAAATGGATAATTCAAAATCCAAAAATAATTAAGTTTTAAAATACTTTTAGCCGCCAAAATTCAAATATCATTTTGGCTCCAAAATTCAAATAGTAAATAAATTATTAAGATACCCTTTTAAAAAAATAATTAATTAATTAATTAATTAGAAAATACGTTTAAAAAATACGGGGTATTACAGAGATGCGGCGGCGGTGGTTTTTGTTGGTGTGAGAAAAAGGGGAAAGAAGATGAGAGAAGAAAGAGGTGAGAAAGAAGAGAAAACAGAAGAGGAAATAGAAGAGGAGAGAGAAGGAAAAAAGATAGAAGGGGAAAATGGCGAGAAAAGAGAAAGAGGCGGAAAAAAAGAAGGGGAAAGGGGATCCGGTTTTAGGGTTAAAGGGATTAAATATTTTTTTTTAATTTATATTATATTTCGACGGAATCCGTCGGAAATTTTAATTAAAGACGGAATATTTTTTTGGAAATTACATATATTCCTACGGGATGGATAATTTTCGTCTTAAATTTTAAAAGGATTTCCGACGGAATTTTTGAATTAATTGGAAATATCCGACGGATGGAATACAAATCCTTCAAAAATTTCCCTTTTTTTGACGGAATTACATGTACGTTGAAACCTGTCTGTCGGAAATCGACCTGATTCGTGTAGTGATCTTTAATTATAAATAAGTAAAATTATAACAATTAAATATTTATAAATTTTTCATTGAGACAATTCCAACAAGTACCCAAAAGACTATAATAATTCTTATATATAAATCACAAATACTACTCAAAGTGAATTAGATGAATAGTTCAAAAAGTCAAAACGCTTCACTTATTTAAATTGACCTTAGTTAAAAATTTCATCCCACCCATAACCTTATTTTATTAAATATTAACTGTAGTTAGATTTATATTTAAAAAAAATAAAAAATAAAAAAATTAACCCAACCATAACCCCCACCTGCCTAGCCACCCCCACCAAAAAAACCCACCCACCATAACCAGTCGTAGCCATCGCCACCACCCTATCCCCGCCAATCCCCCGGCCAGCGCCGAATCTGCCGGAACTCCATTTGACCAACAACACTGGTGACGACAGCAGGTGTGCTTCTGTAGCACAATCCCGGAACCTCCAAGACTCCTGATTGCTCAATCTGCCGGAACTCCCTTTGACCAACAGCAAGCGACGAATCGAAACCCTTCTCCCGCCGGCGAACCCCACGCCATCTCCCCTTACCCCTCCTCTGCCATCTCCACCCCCAGAACCACCACGCCAAAACCCCAAATTAAAAAACCCTAAAATCAAAACCCCAGCTCCCATACTTGCAGGCCATTGTCAAGGAAACCTTCAGGCCACACCCACCAACACCCTTTCTAGTACCGAGAAAAGTTGATGCATATGTGAAGCTCTACGGTTACACAGTGCCTCAAAATGCACAATTCCTGGTCAATGTATGGGCAATTGGAAGGGAACCGAATCTATGGAAGAACCAAACTCCTTTGAGCCTGAGAGATTTATAGGATCTAAAATTGATGTAAAAGGTTGTGATTTTGAGCTGATTCCATTTGGTGCTAGTCGTAGGATATGCCCTGGATTGCCATTGGCTCATCGGATGATCCATTTGATGCTGGGTTCACTAATTCACAGGTTTGACTGGAAGCTAGAAGGAGGAATTCCACCAGGAAAAATGGATATGGAAGATAAATTTGGGATCACGTTGGAAAAAGCTCAGCGACTTCGTGTCATTCCAGCCCTTCGCAATTAAGGGAAACATTAGAGTTTGCATCGCCTTAGAAAATATTCAGTGACTTCATGAAATATTTAGGGAATTCGTTTCTAGGGTTTTAGGGTGTCGAGGATGGTGGTTTAAGGGGGAAAAGTGGGTGAAGATGGGCGAATTAGCTTCGTCGGCGCAGGGGATGGGGTATGGGCAGGTGGGGGTGGCCGGAAATCGGAAAAGGACGGGAAATGAATGGGTTTTTGGGTAGGGTGGCCGGAAGGCAAGTGGGGCAGGAGGCCGCGGAGGTGGTGGCCTGAAGTTATGGAGGGGGAAAGGGAAGAAGAAGAAGGAGAAAGGGAAAAAAAAATAAAGTTGGGGGTGGCTGGGCAGGTGGGGGTGGCTTGGTAGGTGGTTGGGTTAATTTTTTTAGTATTTTTTTTTAAAAAATATAAATCTAACTATAGTTAATAAAATTAATAAAATAAGGTTATGAGTGAGATGAAAATTTTAATTAAGGTCATTTTGTATCATCCAAAAAAAGGGGGTTACCATTGGTGCGTAGCAAAAGTTAGGGGTTACCGTTGAAAATTTCCCTTATAATAATAGGTAATGGGGTGTAAGTTTGAGGAGAGAGAAAAAAGTAAGAGGGTTTGTGGGAACCATTAGTTAATAAAATATTATTAAAAAATAGAGAGCATATTATTTAAAAAAAAAGAGAGAAATTACTAAAAAAAGAAATATTTTATTCATTTAAACACGGTCGAAAAAAGAAAACGTTTTATTTATTTAAAAACGGAGGGAGTATCATATAAATGTTACTCCGTATGTCATATTTTTAAATAGTACAATACATCATGTTTTATTCTTATAAATTATTACTCCGTAATATATTTTAAATAAGGTAATTTTGTAAATATATTAAATAAATAAAAAAAAAAACTAATTAACAAAACCAATAATTCACCCGAACTGACCCGACAATAAATGAATCCATTTTAATCCAAAATCGAACTGTATGACGAACTTCGTATTATGTATATAATGTTAGAAAGAAGGCGACACATAGTTAAATCAAACACCAAAATTTATATATTAGTACTCCTTCCGTTTCACTTTGTTAGCCCCATATATTATTTTGGGCGTTTCAAAATGATATACACATATGGAATATTTTGAGCGTAAAAAATTTCACATATATTTTCATAATATGAAAGTGAATAATTAATCTAATTGGGTGTTTAAAGAGTCAAATAATTTTGATTGGTTAATATATGTGCTAGTGGATTGTCGACATGGCAAATTCTTCCAAATCAAGATATATTATAGGCGACTAGGTTAGACTCCGTGCAATGCACGATTTATATAAAATCTATATAAGAATTATGCACCTTGTACGAAAAAAATGAGTAATTTTAAATTTTAGATTTTCATCAAAATTATGATATAGTACCGGTTCAACGTCACCTAATATATATTTCAATGTAGGAGCTAATACATATTTCAATGTAGGAGATAATTTGTTTAAAATAATTTCAATTTCCTGTTGTAATGTAGAAACTTCCAATATTTAAATTTCAAAAATGTTAAATATGATACCTCTCCGAAAAAAAAAGAAGATGACATCATCCTAGCATTTAGGCGGGCAATTTTTTTATTAAGAGAGCGACATGTAGGCACTAGGCAGCGGTGACATCAGAATTTTCTGTTTTAGTTTTAGTTAATAGATTAATAGATTTGATTTCAAATTTGCCTCCAATTTCCATTAATAAAACAAATAAAATAGAAAATGACAAACATTAATTACAAAGTTGCAATCAAATTTCAGATTATTAGGATTCCTCATTTTTAAGTGATTGATTCCAAAAAAAGACTACCAAGGTGAAACGGAAGGAGTACTTCATTTGTCAGCTGTCACACACTAGAACCCTGCTAATGCACGGAGTAATATAGAGTTAGGAGAAAATTAAAAAAAAAAAAGAGTAGAAGTGAAAGTTATGGAAGGATTATTTTTTTATTTTTTGGTTAAGAGGGGGAAATTAGTTGAAAGTTATTTATTTATTTTGTAAGAATAAAGTGCATAGATTTTGAATATTGACGATGTGAAGAGTTGTGGCCTATGTAAAAAGTTGGGGAAAAAAATTAAGCAATTCTATTTTTATGTATTTATTTAATTTTTTTGAAATGTAGTTTTCTAAATTAATAGTACCAAGCAAATATAAAATGTATTAAAAAAAGGGTGCATGTGTTACCAAAATGAATGATAATAATACAAGTAATAATGATAAGATTGATAACGATGCTTAATTCTCCAATTCTGTAAATAAACTTATTATTATGCACTCCCAAAATCCATTGGGGAGAATTACAATTTGACCAGTCATAGCTGGGATTAAAATGGAAATAAAAGTGAAATACATGCAACAAATTAAACATGACAAATCAAGTTAAATTCGAAATCAAAGATACATAATGCTGAAATAATACTTATATCGGCAGCATATATATTACGGAGTATTATATATATATATATATATATATATGATCCCATGATGATGATTAATTATATTGAGATATTATTGAAGATTTTCGAGGTCGCAGTAGTTTGTTTCATGAGACTTCACAACGACCACCCGAAAAGGTGGCTGAACAAACCTTCTTTCCACAGCATGGAGCATCAAAAAACCCACAATCTTCCCCTAAGCTCCTGCAACCTGAGGTAGCGTCTGCAAAAATACACAGTAATTGTTTCAAAATCAATCTTTTATACACAACTGTATGTGCCATGTGGTACAGGTAAATGGTACGTACATGGTATGGTGCAACAAATTAAATGTCAACCAATTTATATATACGTAGTAAAAAAAATAAAAAAAAATTAGAACTACTCCGTATGTATTATGAATGTTACATTGTACTCCGTATGTTATACGAGTATATAACTAGCTGACAAAATGCTTTAAATAACAGTTTTGAAAATTGGGCTAAATTGATATATAAATATTGGTTGTTAATCTTGTAGGTGAATTTGGTTTTTAATTTTATTATGTCTACACTAGCTATATACAGTATTAATCGATTTAATGATATGCTTGACTTATGATATGGCTAAAACGATTAATTTAAGTCTGATTGGATCAAGTAAAAAAATAGAACATGAAGAAATATCGACTGAAAAAATGTAATAATGAAACCAAAGAGAATAGAGTACCCTAAGTCCCTAAGAATAATGGGGGATTTGCTAAGGCTTACCATTTTGACATTCACCTCCAGTCAAGGAATTTGAACATATACCTCCCGCACAACACCAATTAAAAAGCCCACAACCTTCTCGAACATCAGCACATCCTAGTACTTTTCCACCCAACATCATTTGCACTGCAAATTAAAGGTTCAAAATTAAACACAAAGTATGTACCAAAATGAGAAAAAAAAAGAAAAGAAAAAAAAAGACATTAAATATTACAAACATATAATAACACCATAAATTGTCAAATTAATACTCCGTACCATTATTTTAGAAAATATACAAATTAAATAATCCGCATGCAGGATCCAGAGTAAATAGATTATTACGAAGTATAGTTATTAAATTACCTAATGCAAGAACCAGGAATACTGTTAATACATTCTTCTTGTTGGAAATAATTTGCTTGCCCTCCATTTTTGGAATAATAATACAGTAGTGATAAGAGGATTAACAAATTTCTTTGGTTGCCTTTTTGAAATAACTCTAGTGGTTTTTAATGAGGATGCCTCTTACCCTTCAATCCGAACCCTATTTATAGTACGTTTTTAGTTCATGCAGCTTCTTATTAAAAAATACTACAAAGTATTAGTATTGGTTAGACGGCAGCTTTATATATTGACATACGGATATACAGATGTGGATTTTATTCTTTATAACATTTTCAATTGGGAATTTGGTTTCAACAAGCAATTTCATTCCAAATTTTTAAATTAAAAATGCATCGATTATTATTTGATAATAACTTTACTTTTTAAATAATTGGCAAAACCTAATATTAAGGCATTGTTCAACTTATTTTTACTTATTTCAGAAAAGTAAGTTAAGTTCAGATCATATCATTGTTTTATGTGCGGTTTTTTATCGCTAAATATCTTTAATTTCATAATGAAAAAAAAATTATAAAAATAACATATTAATAAAATACACAATATTACGAATCTAACAATACCCCACTTGATATATTTTTTTTTCTTTATAGATTATCGTACACATAAGGTCAAAGTTTGGTGAAATCAGACAATAGAATCAGATCAGACCAGATCAGATCAGATAAGTAAAAATTAAGGTGAACAAAACAAGCCCTAACACCACCTATATAATAACATTTTGCACGATAATATATATTTTTAATAATTTAGTAAAATACTGCCATCAAAGTTAATATATACCTAATAGATAAAGGGTGTAGTGTGTACTTCCTCGAGTTCCTCCATTTTATATTAGTTGGTTTGTTTTTACTGTAATTTTGTGATTTATACTTCGTATTTGGGAGTAAACCTACTCGAAATTAGAGCTGGCTAAAGTTGACATGATGCGAATCGGACAAGAAAATATTGGGTTATTGTCAAGAGTTTTCGATACGTTTAATTAAACAGGTTATCATAAGACTGTCACATATACTTAAACAGGTCGGATTAGTGTTGAGGTTCTCAACACAAAATTAACATGACTCAATCTGACTAAGAAAAACCCCTACTCCCTCCGTAAATGCATCAGTTTGACTTTTGCACTATTCACGTGTCATGTTTGACTTATTTTTTTCCTATTATAAACTAAATAAATGTTATGATATAATGTATCATTACATTCGTCACAATGTCTATTTTCATAATTTAATTTTGTTACAATTTTTACTAATTAATAGACAATTAAATATATTAATGGTCAAAGTTACGTCTTGGCAAATGTGCTGGTCAAACTGATGCATTTAAAAAAAAACAGAGGGGGTAATAAATTATGGAAATTTTGATAGATTTACTGAATGTGGCTTATATTTTTTCATATAACACGACAACACAACACGAACCGGATAAAAAAAAGCTGGTTAGTGTTAAGGGTTTCTGAATTAAACGGGTCAGCACGACACGACATATTTATTAATTATATAGGTCAGGTTAGTGTTGAAGCTTTCCAACCCGTTTAATTTCGAACACGACATGACATGACACGATTGCCAACTCTATTCAAAATACTCCATATTCAAGTGAAATCTTGGTAAATTTATTTCAATGTATACGATTTCTAAATTTCTAAATTTCCAAATCATCGTGCAGGAGAGTAGTACTACCATCTAGGCGTACGTCAGAGTAGGTTTAGTTCAAATAAAGTTAGAATGATTGAGCATTAACAAATATTTATATACAATATACATATACCAATACCATAAAGTATTTATTAAGGAGCTGAAAATGTATTGATTATCTGAATGTATGATCTGTGAGATAATATATTGCTTGTCTTCCGCCAGATTTGACGGACGACAGCTATGAATGCTGATTCTGTTTAATGGCAATTATATATTGTTATGTGCTACACGCCTACACTTGTTTAATTTCGTGTTGTTGGTTGCACTCAAGTCATAATACAGACCCATAAGTGATTAATGGTGTTGGAGTGAATTTGCGTTAGAATAATATCTTACATTCTACTGTAACTTTCTATCTTGATTTGGAGACGAATATGACTTGTGCAGTTTTTCCTCACTTGAAGGTGTGAAGGACGATCGATCGACCATGGTCGATTTGATGCGATCAATTTTACTAAAGATGCCAAGTTCGATGTTCCACTTTGTGTAGAGAAATTAAATTAATGATATCATGCCATGCTCAATTTTTGAAATTAAATTATTGAAATAAATTAAATGACTTGTGTAAGTATGTAAATTTTCTTTTTTTTTCTTTTTTTTTTTTTATAATTTAAATTTATTTAATGTTTATATCTAGTGTTGGTGGTGGCGAAATGGAAGCGACAATGAGTAAGAATCTGAATGAAATGGTGTGCTGGTGGTGGAGAAATTGAAGCAGCAAAACCAGATTGTAACATTATTAAATTTGTTGGCCTTATTGATCTTAAAACCAGATTGTAGAATAATTGAAGAGGGAAAAAAGATAGGGGTTGAAAGAGAAATTGAAAATGAAGAGCAAAACCAGCAAAGTAACGGTGTATAATTTTCCGTTTAGAAACATGGAATTTCTCCATGCTATGATAGGCTTAGTACATAATCCGTGTGTGGTTGTGTTACTCTATCTGACTATCTGTTTCATAATACTCGCAACAATAGATTTGACACATGGTTTTAGGAAGAACATAGGGTGGGGGCCAAATGAGAAATTTAATCTACCCCTTCTTTAAATATGAGAACTTTAGCTACTGTTGAAAATGAATAGTGCATTGGCTGTTTTGCCCTTCCTCTTCTCTCAGTAGTGCATTGGCTGTTTTGCCCTTCCTCTTCTTTCTACATGAATACTGAAATAGCTTTTTTCCCCTCTCATTTTCTATCCTTTTCCTCTGCTTTCCCTGTACACGTGCAAGTACAGAAGATTGAGTGTTTAGTGAGGTATAGGCTTTGTAGGGTAGGTTGTAGTACCTTTGTACTTTCTATAGCTTTTGTGGCTTCACACAAAGCAATACTCAAAGTCAGTATTTTATTTTCACTGAAATACTCAACGTTAGAACCTTTCTTTGAAGATGTATACACTGCTAGGAAGAAAGCAAGAGAAGTGTTTAGTCTGGTGATTCAATTTTCCTTTAATAAGGTGAGTGTTATAATTCTGCAATTGGTGTAGATGAACTTAGCTTTAGTGTTCTCTCGAATTTACAAGATAGCTGCCATTTACTGGGTTAGAGTTCATCTTATGTTTTGTTGCATGCATTTTTCATTTGCCCTGTATTTATAATTCTGCAGTTGGTGTGGATTAACTTTGCTTTAGTGTTCTCTCGAATTTTCTGGATTAGAGTTCATCTTATGTTTTTTTGCATGCGTTTTTCATTTGCCCTTGTTTATGTTTTGCGTGTTTGTAAATGTCATGATTTGATATGTATTGAAGGTTGTTGTTTCTTTAAAACCATGTTATCAAAATGTATTTTAGAATTGTAGGTCTAATTATTGTAGTTTGTTTTCCATCATGTATCTTTGGTTTTTTTTTTCTCTTTTTTTTCCCCCTGAAGTATGTGTATTTGATTGCTACAGTTGTGGGTACAAAAGCATTGAAGCTATTTTTCTTAATTTTAAAAATTTCAGAAAAGAGACCAAGTGAAGCTGCTCGTATCATCAAGGACGTTAGATTTTCTGTAAGTCTTTTGTATTTGTTAATTCATTCTGATTATAAACAATTTTTTCTTTTATTTTAACATTAATATATTGGTTAAACTCATTTGTTTTACTAATCTATTCATAGTCCCATTTCTCATACTTTGTGGTTAGTTATCTTTCAACATTTGTGGCTAAGTAGGATGATAACTTCGTGGTTAATTAATTTTCAATATTTGTGGCTAAGTAGGATTATAACTTCGTGGTTAATTAATTGTCAATATTTGTGGCTAAGTAGGATGATATTATGGTTTTTTGATATATACATATATCTTGTTTCATGGCATATGCACACTTTTCTCTCAAAATTTACATGTACAACATTATGAAATTTCTTTCATACTTTTTACATTGAACCTTGTAATCACCGGTTTGTGCAAGTGTGCCAAATTGTAAGCAGTATGAAAAGTAGTAGTTCCTTTGGTTTGGTTTCAATCTTTTGACAGTTAATATTTCAATTACTTTTGGTGTAAGTGAGACAGTATACCGTTTGTTTAAAATGGTTATGTAAGCTAAGTAGTCAAAATTAATGTATATGGACTTAAGATAACACAAATACATTGACACATTGAATGCTAAGATTAGGCTTGCTATGTGTTAGTATTTAAGGTGATAACTAAGTGCCTTATGATATGTATATATGCATATGTGCTTATCATGAAGATTGTTTCTATTCATAAAATTAGCTTCCTAAATGATAGCAATGTGGCCATTTCAGGTTATGGCTTCTTTATCTCCATCTTCATCTCGTGAAAAAATTTCTATTCCTTTCCGACCACTATTGGATCAGATCACAGATTGTCTTGACTTCCCTAGGGCTACGTATTCTGTGGATGATCCAGTTAAGTGTAAATCATGTGTATATATAAGAACTGAGGGTCAGCGAGGCATTTTCTGGTTTAATGGAGAAGGTGCAGCTACTATTGAGGACTCTCAGGAAAGTGCAGCTGAAATAGCAGTGCATTTTTTAACTAAAAGATATGATGTGTGTGTAGGTGACTTCACTATGGACATAATGCGAATGTATGACTTGTGTGGAAAGTTGTATAGGCTAAAACGTAACTCTCTAGAATCGCGTGGTAGGACAAAGAATTGTAGTAAGAAGATTGTAGGTGATGTTATACATGTTGTGATAGATTATGTGGCCTTTCTGCCTAAGATCATCAGACACACCGGTGTTCTTATAACTGGTTTAGAAATAGTACATTCTGAAGGGCAGGGTTATGTATCTTGGCTTACAGTGACTTCTACTTATGCGAAGTGTGGGATGGAGTGTATATTCAGTGAATTGTGTTTAGATAGCAATGTATCTAGACAAATGGTTGCTAAGAAAACAATTTATTATCTTATGCAGCTATATAATTTAGATATTGTGGATGCAAATTATGGTTCTGCAATTTTTAAAGGAGTTCTATGTTCTTTAGAAATGGAAAGTTGTTTAGCAGTGGAAGAGCGAAAGAATGGGCATAAAGATAATGCACAACTGATGCCTTTGTTGATTAAAGAAAGCTCATCAACTTTGCATAAGCAGAATCCTCAAACTTCTATGATTGTTTCTGGTCCAAGCACTCCTGGTCCTTCTGTTTGCAAAAGACCATCAAGGACTCCAGAGACTGCATGTACATCTAGAGCAAAAATTAGCACCCCATCTGTAGTACCAAAAAGAATTAAATTTGTATGAGTCTTGAAATTTGTTACCTATGTGGGTGTATGGATTTAGCCTTTCCAATATGTAGTAAAGACCTATTTAATGTTTATCAGTTGCTATAATGTATCGTAATCATGACTTGTGCTTAAATGTATTTGGTTGTATGAAACGCTTTTGAACGGATTATATATATATATCTTAGTTTTCAACAATGTTCAATAGCTTAAAGTTTATTGTTAGTCAGTGTATATAATTTCCTATTTTATTGTTATAGGGGTACTAATCCATTTATCATAGCAGATTTAGCATATTGTATAGCTTTGCAATATGTAAATTATTATTTTGATATAACAATGATCATAATTAAATAGACTCTTAGTCATAGTACTGTTGTTGTATCTAATTGTTCAATAATTTATTTTATGAATAGGTTGACATTCGAACTTATGTTAAGGTCTCTTCCAAGTACAAGTAAACGTTGGCGTGCAATAGCAGCCATGTCTCAGTCAAATATTGTCAGGTGGTTGTTATATGTAGTGTCTTCTAAATTAGTGCACTTGAATTGCTTGCCTATGCAGAGTTTATATACATACACATTAATGTTTTGTGTTTGCATTACCAGCACAACAGAACCAAACTGACATACTTGACAGGGAACTCGGGGCTCAGCAGCAAGTGAATGAAATTGGTAAAATAGTAGTATGTGAGAGCTATTGCCTACAAATAGAAACTTTACCAAAAGACTAAAGTACTGAAGATATATGTTTTATGCAGCTATAACAACATTTGATGCAGAGAGCAGACGTAGCACAAGTAAGTGAATACATCTTTTACCTACGCACCCTTCAGGTAGGTTCTATATTCAGATGAATTAATTGATATGTGAGAATGCACTTTGAATATCTGTGGAAAAAAATCTACTTTAGACGAAGAAAAATAATTGAAATAGGGTCTCAACCTCAGTCTGTCAGGTATTTGTAATATAATGCAATGCCAAGTTAATAGTGTTTTGTTTTCCCTATTTCATGTACATGAACAATGCTAACCTAATAAACAAATATTGTGGATTGCAGAAATCCCAGCAGCTACAATTGGAATGTGTTTACCTACTGGTCCTGCAAGGTTATCACCCATATTATTGTTTTGAATGCAATGCTAAGAAATTTCACTACTACAAAAAACCCATAAGAAACCCCCTAAAACCTCCCTTTGAGACCACATGAGAGGGGGTCTTAAGGTTAGCGACCTCTTAGGTAAAGAAACCCCTTTTTGGAGGTGGTTTCTTAAAGATAATAAGAAACCCCTTTTCTTTCTTAGGTGGTTATTTATCCAACCCTTTAAATTATACATGAAAGTTGTATATGGAACCACATAAGAGCGAGAAGGGGTCTCTTATATCACATTTTAAAAAAACCCCCCTAACTGGAAAAGGGGTCTCTTATCTAGGCTCAAAATTTTTAAATATATGAATGAATCGCCGGCAAGATTTGTTAGACAACCGGTTTCTTATTTATTTATTTATTTTTTTAATTTTTTTAAAGCAACATAATGTAACGAGTACCTAACAGGTGACAAACCTGTATATATATATAATTATAAACAAAAATATGAAAATAAGCTACTGTACAAGATAAAATATTGCATACTTTCATTGAAATAAATATTTTACTACGAGTACAAATTTAGAGTGTTTATGTTGTACGTAGTACCAAAAGAAAAAAGACAATATAAAATACTAAAATTGTAATGGTAGCGCGATGCATATAAATTTACTCATCATAATCCACACCATCGTCATATTCTTCACCGACTTGCTTATAAATTTACTCATCATAATCCACACCATCGTCATATTCTTCACCGACTTGCTTATGCTCGTTCACATAATTAACCCATAAGTCTCTTAGCTCGTCAATCTTTGCTTGAGAATAAGAAGAAGATACTCCAGTTAAGTACTACATATAAAGCATTAACAACATGCATTAATAACTACAAATACATTGAGTTAAAGTACACTATGAAGAACATAAAAAAGACAATGTGAAGTAACTTTACATGCCTTATTTCTGTTAAAAGTCAAGCATGCATTATTTCATCTAAATGGAAAATTTTCTATAGTATAAAAAAGCATTGAAGCCCACCACAACGAAAACACACCATAGTAACGCATTACTTGACCCTAGTTGATACTTGATCGACAAATTGACCTTAACTGAACCAGTTTAATTAGTTCATGTGACTAAAGTTGTAATGACTGGATTTTCAAAACCACAATATTTATGTGCCTGCATCTTTTACTTATTCATGTCGTCATATGCCGGATACCCATTCTAGGACAATCAGAACATAGCCAACACAAACAAAGTTGAGCAATTAAAAGCTTCTAGGTTCTTAACTACTATTATAGAATGTATGACCAGCTTCTTAATGAACAATCATAAAGGCCTTAAGATAACTGATGTTAGTTATGTGTACAACTTCCGGAAGTTAGTTTGACCAAAATTATTGATATGATCATTCTCACATCCATATAATGCAGTGGTTCAGACTCAATCAAACTTCCAGCCCATTTCCAGGGCAAATAAATAATGCACTTCTAACAGGCTGATAATCCTAAAGTAGCCTTCAAAGTTTGCTACAGAATCTGTAAACTTGCCCCAGAAACATGGAGTATGTTTCCCCCAGAAACATAATACAGAATACAAAAACAGAATAATATAGATAAAAACAAGTAATATAAATAAAACAGAATAAAATGAAAACAAAATAAAAAATTGAAAATAGAATAAAAAAAATGAAAACAGAATTTTTTTTTCTTTAGAATAAATATACATTATGCATGCATGAATAATACCTGATCAGGAATCACTTGTCGTCTTTTGTCTATAGTCTCAAGCATGTAGCGGCACACATAGTATCCACTATCGCAGGAATTTAGTGATTGACGAGGACACTTGCAAAAATAAACAATTAGTTATGTCACATGATAATTCTTTTTTATAATTATTAAGAAGCTTTGTATAAATTAACTAAAACTTACCTGTGGTTTCTTCCACCTACTTCCTGGATTTTTTTTTATCTTGATAATGTCTTTTCGATGTTTTTGGCTAAATTTTTTTATCCCACTAAAAAAATGTAATATAAAAAAAATTAGATTAGTAATTATCAATATTGCAATATACGTCCTCATAAATTAAACAATCACAACACAAAGAAAGTAAACTGATTTTAAGCACATTATAATGAATATGTGATGTACTACATACTCGTTGATGGTCTTTTGAGCAAATTCACTAATTTCATTTTCTGCTCCATCTGGATCTAGCCAAAACACCACTGCATTCCAAGGACTAATGATCGCAACCATCCAATGCCGACTATATGTAACATTAGTAAGAGAAGTAACATTGACATTATTATCATTGAACATCCCAAAAAATAGTTTTATATATAAATTCACACTTGTTTAATACAAGTAATAATGTGGCAAACAAGCATAGATAGCAGACAAGCGGTAGAGGCAACATAGAGATAAGCTTATTTGCATCTTCAAGCGCGATTAAGTTTAAATGAAGCACTCACAATAGAAAACTACAGCAAATAGCCAAGCAGAGTAATTTACATGTAGGCTGTCCTGATAGAAAGCAGGAGTTAGCAACATAGCTAACAGTGCAGATAATACAAACACAATAACAATCTGATATACACTTTGCATATCAGTCCAAGACAAGGAATGATCAGCAAAGCCAAGGAAAGCTAGCGCCTGTTCCTGCATTTCTCCAATGCTCTAGGAGCTGCACAAAAGTTGTTATGGTATATCTATAAGCGAAGATCCTATCAAAATCACGAGATTTCAATACATATATGTTTTATTAGAGGAAAGATCACAAAAAAGCATTTTGTATTCAATTTTGTGCTGACATGACATATTTTTAAAGTCATGATCAGACAACTCTTTTCTCACACTGTTAAGCTGAAATCTGATCTTCTGAGTACAAACCAACCTTAATAATCTGTCTAATATTATGCCCAAATGTATAATCTCCATCTTCATACATTAATAATTCGTCATTCTTTCACTCAGGAATCACTAGAATATAAAAAAAATCCTTTTGCTATATTCATTTCATTCTTCCATACTTTCAATGGTTCTCTTAAACCCATCGCCAAACAGTATATAACAAGTCATATAATTTAAACCTATAATTTCAATGGTCCTATAATCTCAATTTTAATTTAGCCATACATGCATACCCCATCATACGAAATCGAAAAAAAAGTACCAAATTAACAACAGAACAAAAATTAGGGTATTTTTATCATTAAATTAATTAAATTAAAAAGTCAAAAAATTAGAATTACCAAGAAGGAAACAACACGCAAAATTCTGCAGAGAGGATGAGCGGTGGCTTCAGTGGCGGTGCCGGCAGTAGTTCAAACGACACAAAAACCAGAACAAATTAAAGTGGCGATGGTGGCAGATAAGCGAAATTGCAATGGCTTTTGTGATGGGCAAGGGCTTATGCGGTTGCGATGGCGGTGGAGGAAAGCTTGATCGTATGTAATTGGAGGTAATGGAGGAAGATGGGAGGGTGAGTGTAGTAGTGGCGGTAAATTAGCGTGAATATCAATGAAGTGAATGAAAGAGGGTAATACAGAGTTTTGCACTTAATTAAATTATCAATTCTAATTTTTCATTTTTTTTAATTTAATAAATAAAAAATAAGAAACCGGTTTTGGGAATAAAAGGTTTCTTTAAGTTTGGTTAAATTTTAATACTAAATAAGGAACCTCATTTTTTAAAGAGGGGTCTCTTATATCTCATTCAAAGAGACCCCTTTTCTTAGATCATAGGTTTCTTTTATTAAAAAACCCCCTATTTACTAAAAGGGGTTTCTATTAGTGATACTTTAGGCCAGATTTGTAGTAGTGTTTGAATATGAAACCTTGCATTTTTGTTGCGGTAATGGAGAAATCCAAATAGCTGCTAATGAATATCCTTTGGAGCTAAAGAGACTCTTTACAAGTGATGATCAAGATGCTCTGCATTTTAAAAAATATGCTCGATTGGACAACAATTTATTTGCTTTCAGCTCACTGGGCGGTGATTATGATGCTGATACTCACAAGGGGATTTATTTGTTCAAGGGACATGGTCAGATGTATCACTTTAATTTGTTCCAGATTTACTTCCGGCTGATGGGAAGGCTAAGTATTTACAGTTGTATTTCTACGATGGTCAACATGAAACTGCCAATCGCACAAATAGTTTCCCAGAAGTAAGGGAGGACATTGTTTCTATATTGATGAATGTTACTAAGGAAAATCCATATGCCAGATTCTTCAGATCTTTGAGAGAGATACCTGTTGAACAAACCACAATTATTATTTTGAATAAAATACAGTTCCTGACCAAAGTGTATACAATGCTCCATTAGTTGATGAAGTGGCTGGTATATGGCCAGATAACTCAAACTCTAGCAATAGTAATAGTCCTCACATCGTTGTTCAGGGTAAGTCATCAGAGCCACATCGAATTCAACACTATTATGGCTGCTATGATCCATTACAGTATCCATTTTTATTTCCAAGAGGTGAGTGTGGTTGGACGCAGGGACTCAAGAAAAAGACATGGGGAGGGAGGAAGCAATTAGCTAAACAGGTTGATCCTATTATGTCAAGTGTTGTTCATACTACAGAAGAATTACTTGCAGAAGAAGAATCACGTATGTTCTTAAATATTAATCTATCATATATATCAATCATATAAATGTGTATTATAAAATGTGTTTAATAGTTTAAATGTATTTACATTCTAGGTGCTGCAAGACGAAACACAAAAGCAGATAAGTATGTGTCAGCTAGAGAATACTATGCTTATAAATTACAAATAAGGGGTGATAATATGCTGCTCCGGGCAGGGAGATGTTTACAGCAGTATATAGTTGATATGTATGTGAAGATAGAAAATACAAGGCTAGATTTCTTCCGCACGAATCAAGATACAATTAGAGCTGATTTATATCAGGGTGTACTTGATTCTTTGGATTGTGGTGTAAAAATAGCAGCAAATGTTGGTCGCAGGGTTGTATTACCTCCTACGTATATAGGAGGACCACGAGATATGCAGAAGCGTTATTTTAATGCAATGGCTTTGGTTCAAAGGTTTGGAAAACCTGATCTGTTTGTAACAATAACGTGCAATGTAAACTGGCATGAGATCAAAGATGAATTGGGACTTAATTAGAAAGCACAAGATCGGCCTGATTTAGTAGCACGGATTTTCCATGCTAAATTAATTACATTGAAAAAGGAAATTAAAGAGAAAAAGTGCTTTGGTGAAGTAGCTGCTACGATATTTGTGGTTGAATTTCAAAAACGAGGACTTCCACATGCTCACTTCCTGATCATTTTAAAGCCAGAGTACAAGCTGAGACGTATTGAAGACATGATAAATTTGTATCTGCAGAAATACCTCCTACTACATCTCCTGCACTTCGGAAAATAGTGCTAAGACATATGATGTATGGGCCATGTGGAAGCTTGAATCCTAAATGTGCATGTATGCGCAGATCAGGAGCAAAAGAATCTTGCAAATATGGTTACCCTAAACAGTTCTGTGATGAGACCGTTGTAAATAAAGAAGGCTATCCTTTTTACAGACGCAAAAACATAGGAGAAAGTGTTAAAATAAGGAATGCCTAGTTGGACAATCGTTGGGTCATACCATACAATCCATATTTATCACTGATGTTTGATAGCCATATAAATGTTGAGGTCTGCTCAACTATTAGAGCAGTTAAATATCTGTATAAATATGTGTATAAAGGTCATGATCGAATCCAATATAACATTGTACCTGAAAACAATAATGTGATTGATGAAATTAAACAGTATCAATCTGGGAGATGGGTGTCACCGTGTGAAGCTGCATGGAAAATCTTCGGTTTTGATTTATTTGAAAAGCAACCCCCGATCCTCCTATTACCAGTTCACTTGCCGAACATGTAGAATATTCAATTTAGGCCACATGAACGACTACAATCGGTTGTTTCTGATGGTAGACAGGGTAGAACTCCGTTAACTGAGTTCTTTTCGGTTAATGTTGTTGTTCCAGGTATGTACATAATCACATTATTGTCACATTTCTAAATGTTCTTGCTTATATAAGAAATTCTATACTCATTATTGGATAATGCTTTTTCTTATCACTATGTTACATAGGATCTGCTATGTTTAAGATAGAGTTTTTTCTTCGATTTAAATGATTATTATTACTATCTACATTACATCTCTTTTATATAAAGATTGGATATTCTTCTCTGCTTTTTACTTATTTAATGACTGAAATTTTACCAAGGTGGTTTGGGCTATTCATATGATGAATTTTGTGAGCACTATCGATGGAATGCATCCAGTAAAGAATGGGTTCAAAGAAAGCAAGACAATATAGTTGTTGGGAGGTTAGCATTTGTTTATCCAGCTGAAGGGGAACAGTTTTTTCTGAGATTAAACGTTAAAAGTCCAACATCTTTTGATGATCTCAGAACAGTTAACGGACATTTATATCCTACATTTCAAGAAGCTGCTCTGAAATTAGGATTACTTGAGGAAGATGATGTAGGTGATATTTGTATGTCCGAGGCAGAAAATGCTCAATTACCTATGGCTCTACGTCGTTTATTTGCAACTATCCTGATATTCTATCAACCAAAAGACCTTTATTCTTTATGGTGTAAAGATTTTAACTCTTTATCTGAAGATTTCAGTCACCAATACCAAGAGAATGTGAATAAAGTTAGAAAGCTAACTATTAGATCACTTGAACAATATTTAGAAGCAATGGGAAAAACACTAAAAAGTGTAGGATTGGGTGATTTATGTTCTGGTGAAGAAGATGGATTGCAGCATACTAAAGACATTGTTGATGCTTTAGATGCACCTATTCCTCAATAATGTATTGATTGCATTCATCGCCTCAATGCTGAACAATTAGTTGCCTTTTCACATATTATGGAATGTGTTCATTTAGGAATGTGTTCACATACCACAGGGCGCAAAATTGGACCGCTGGGACCGGGCCTCCACCAGCCCCCCTGGCTTCACCCATAACTCGCTTTATGCTCGTAGTGTTGGCTCGCTGCACCCAAGTCATAATCTCATAAGGATTTTTTCCCCTTTTATAGAATGACTAGCAGTCCAAATTATTAGACCCTTTAGATATGAAAGGCTCTTCGCACCCCATTCTAGTATAATGTCTAAACTGTTTGGTCATACATGTTTATTCATCAGTTACCATGTACTCTCTCCGTTTCATAATAATTGCAGATTTGCAATACTAGAGGGTATGAACAAAATTTTAGGAAAATTATAGTTAGTGACTAAAAGAAGATTTTTTATTATACTATATAAATAAAGTATAGTATATAATAAAAAAGAGAAATAATAATAATATTTGTGAAAGTAGGATTAGTGTGAGAGAGATAAATCTATCTATCTATATATAATACTCCGTTTGTATTTAAATTAGTGAAACGTTTCTCTTGTACGCCAATGCATAAGTTTGAATGATAATATCCACTACTAGAAAACAGGCGATTTTCGATGGAATTATTCCGTTGGAAACTGTCGTCGTAAATGTATTTGTAGGAAAAACGACCTTTTCCGCTGGAAACTTTTCCACCGGAAAATTCCGACGGAATGTCCATCGGGAAATCCAACCAAAATAATAATAATAAAAAAAAATCCTACCACCACCAGCCCCACCTCTACTCAAGCCACCAGCTCCATCCACACCGCCAGCATTTACCCTACCACACACCTAACCCCACAACAACCTCTACCTTACCACCTAGGGGTGATCACGGTTCAGATATCCGATCTAAAATTGGATTTCGAATCGGATATCCGAATCCGAAAAGTCTTGTATTTGATATCCATATCCGATCCGAAAACTTTTCGATATCCGAAAATTTCGGATCGGATAGTTCGGATATCCAATATCCGGATTTTTTAAAAATATATTATTTAAATGCTATTTTAATAGCAAATTTGATTTTTTTTTAAGGAAAAATAAACATTTAAATTTTATGTTTTATGGAGTATAACCTAAACCTTAGTTCAAAAACAACAACGACAAAAAAAAAAATGCAATCCATCAACTCATAAACCAGCCTTAAATAAATTAATACACAGACATTCAACCCATTAATTGAAATAACATATACACCTTCAACAATTAAATATATCTCCTACCAACCTCATTTATACTATCTTTTTATTATTTCTCTCCTATTAACAATTAAATATATCTCTACTAACTATACTTTATATTACTAGTTGTGGACCTGCACGCGGTTCCCCAAGTTGTCGATATTAATTAGAGAGTAATTATGACATAATTGCTTGATGTATTTGTGATTATATATGAGTCATAAGTAATTAGTGTAAAAAAATAATCACGTTGAAATAGCACATAACTAATCTATCTTTTATTCCGATGTTTGCATTGGTATCTATAAACTAATGTGTAAACTAATGTGTACATTGGTACATATAAACTAATTGTGATAGCTTTGATTTCTTCTATTAATTAATTTGGAACCTAATTTACATTGTTAAATTTATGTTTTAGTAATTAAGTAACATGTGGAAAGTCTTATAGCTTTTTGCAATAGCTTCTGGATTATGCATAAGAGAATTGGAATTCGAGTAGGATATCTATGAAAGGATATTGTCATATTGTTTTTATTTATTAAAAGGTGT